GGACTCAATTTGCACTATTTCTAGCAATCTGCAAAGGCCCATAGTTATTTCATTTTATATTGACCATAGGCATCAGGACATATTTCCCAAGATCTAACAATGTCTAAACTTATTTGGTGTGGTCGTTATTTGAGCTTGTAAGGAAAAAAAGAAAAAAGAAAAAGAGACGGTCAACTTTTTTTAAAGGCATATGTTGCCCAATATATTTGTCTAAAATTGTAGTTAGAAGTGTTAATTGAAAGTTTTTGTAGAGTCAAAAAACCTGCCAGATTTCTAAGTTGCAGACAATTGATAGTGAGGCCAGCTTCCTCGCTTGTCACATGTGAATCTTATCTGCCACCTTGGAATTGGTGATTGTTCTCGTATGCTTCCTGTAAGGCTACACTGTGAATGTCTACATCCCCTTCCTCCACAATTTGCTGAAATTTCTTAAACGATTATTACAGCAGAGCATGAACTTTGAATAAACTGCCGTCTACCAATGCTTGTCTGTGGATGATGAGATCTCTAATCCACAACAAAGAGGGCAGCAGGTCTTTTTGCAGAAATCTCTTTGACGACTAAATACTGTAGTCTGAGTTTAAAAGAGAGGGATTCCAAGTTGTCTTTTTATCTTACAAATATAGACAAAGAAGAAAATGCTTGTCAATGACTTTATCTTATTTTGTACTATTATTTTGTACTACATGGTGCTTCAAAAACTCCCTTGTTTCCCACTTCAGCTTGAAAATGTGTGTGTGTGTGTGTGTGTGTTTGTGCTTTAAATGACCTAGATTTGTTGTATTTTGAGGGTGGATCAAGGTGTATCTGCGTGTGAGATGATTTGAAACTTTAGATTGGGGAAAACTAGTAGCTAGAGACAATAACTTCCTTATTACTGAGCATCCAGCTCTATATTTGGATGCGAGGAGTGAGATAGGAGAAGGAATGGGCTGTTAACATTTATGACCAGTTTTCATGTAGATAGTTCATGCAGCAAGTGGGTGGAAAATGTGGAGACTGTTCTCCATACTAGCAAAACCTGCACAAAGAGGGGGAAATGCAGACTTTGGCACAAATTTTATTTGACTTTCTTATTTGTATAGTAAGGTTCAGTTGAAACCATTGGTGAATGATCTTACAAATTCTTTTCTTAGTGTGGATTAGGTATTAAGACATGCTTCTGATCATTAGTTTCAACTCAGTTTGTCCTACTCCTTTCTTGATTTTTCTTAACAACTTGGGAGATTTTTTTTAAGAAATGAAAAATAAAGAGGCATTGTTGTGAAAAAGAGGTAACAACAGTATTTATTGTATTGCAGTTTTCCTCTTTGAGGCCTAAAGGATAAAGAAAAGTGAAGAAAAGAATCACTTCCCAGACAAATAAATAAAAATAGTCATAATCTCCCCTATAAATGAAGTGGGGCAGCTATCACAAAATGCTGGCAAGAAAAAGAATAATGCTTAGCTTGTTTACAGTTGAAATGCAGTGCTATTCACAGAGTCCTGTTTGGAAATTTCAGGGATTTATGCTAGAAATAGTGCAAATTGAGTCCACTTTAAGGGTTAGGGTTAGGGTTAGGGAATCATGAGAACTGTATTTTATTGTGGCACCAGAGCTCTCTGACAGAGAAGGATCAATGTCTCAGAAAAAAACAAAAAACCAATTCCCATGATTCCCTAGCACTAACCCTAACCCTAAAAGTGGACTCAATTTGCACTATTTCTGGCAGTCTGCAAAGGCCCTTTGTGTGTAGTCTCAGGAAAATTATTGCCTTATCTTTTTTTTATTATTTGTAAAACAGTGGCTGGAGGATTTTGGGAACTGTAATCTAAAGATTAACTTTTCTGAGCTCTGGTAATAATCATGACTTTCCTTGTGATGAGTCCCATCTGGTCCAGTGTCTCTATTCACTTGTAGCCAGCCAGATGTTTTCAGGAAAGCTCACAAGCTGGACCTGAAGGCAACTGCCTCACCCTGTTGTTGTTTGGTTGTTGTTGTTGTTGTTGTTGCTGCTGTGTGCTTTCAAGTTGTTTCCAATTTATGGCGATCCTGGGGTTTCCTGGCAAGATTTGTTCAGAAGAGGTTTGCCATTGCCTTTCCGTGATGCTGAGAGCATGCAACATGCGTAAGATCACCCCCTGGGTTTCATAGCCGAGTGGGGAATTGAACTCTGGTCTCTAGAATTGTAGTCCAATACTCAAACCACTATGCCACACTGTCTCTCCCCTCACACTAGTATCTGCCATTCAAAGGTACAGTCCCTATAAATGTAGAATACCCCTCTCAATATTTTTACCCTGGAGGGACCCTTGAAATAATTTTCAGGTCTCAGGGAATTCCTGCATAAAAATTATAATATCTATAGCTCAAAAAAGTTTTATTTTCCCCCAATCATGATCTCTTGTGGGAAACCCCCCCCCCCCCCCGACTCTCCTGCAGCAATCTCCTTAGGAATTCTAGGTTTTGGAGGATCCATAATTGAGAAACCTTGATGTAGAGCAGTGGTTGGCATGTAGAGCAGTGGTTGGCCTCCAGGTCTTCCACGGGCTGAGAGGGGGGGAAATGGCAGCGCGCGGGCGTGTGCCTCCGACCCCTGCCGCCACCACCGCTGCATGCGCTGCCGCCGCATGCGTTGCAGCAGCCATTTTGTTTTCCAAAATGGCGGCCGCGGCTCATTTACACATGTGCAGGAGTACTGTGCATGCGCAAATGAGTTGTGGCCGCCATTTTGTTTTCCAAAATGGTGGCCGTGCGGCGGCAGGGGTCGGCGGGGGCTGGTCCAAAGGCCTCAGGGGGGTGGACCCGGCCCACAGGCCGTAGGTTGCCGACCCCTGATGTAAAGGTTTCATAGGGCTAGGAAACAAATTTTTGTTCAACTATCACACTTCCTGTATAAATGTGAACCTCTCAACTTTGTTAGCTTCACAGTGTAACAGTGATGACAAAATGTGGGGATTCTATGATAGATCTACAAAGCCCAAGAAATAAACAAATGCAACAAAATAAATGAAACCAAAAGTATACAGCTCAAAGCTTCTCACTTGGAACCCAATTTCTGTCTTCAAAATTTGTGAAAATTTGCACTAGGCTTAATAATCCTGATCTGTATCTTAGTGGCAGACTACTTGATCTTTGTGCAGAAAATCCCAGCTTCAGTCCTGTCCATCTCCATTTAGAATTGGGAAAAATACCTCTGTGAAACTGGAGAAGTATTGCCAGTATATTGGAGATAGGAAACCTTGGGACTAGATATTGGGAATACGGATCCCATAATGAAGAATTTAATATCTGAATGCTTCCCCAACCCAAAATTCCATCCCTGCACATATAAAACCAGTATGGCTTTAGAGAAGGCTGGCCTGAATTGTTGACAGCCAATGTGGTATAGCAAGTTGACTACTGGATTATGACTCTGGAGATCAGGGTTTGAATTCTCACTAGCTTTAGAAACCCATTGGATGACTTAAGGCACGTCACATTCTCTTAGCCTCAGAGAAAAGAAAGGCAAACCCCCTCTGAACAAACCTTGTCAAGAAAAGCCCTGTGACAGAGTAGCCATAAGTCAGAAATGACTTGAAGGCACACAACAACAATCTTGAATGAGTACAGTCCAGCATCAAGCACATCACTAGTCTCAGGGCAGCCTGTGGTCTGAGCAGATGGACCTAAAATGATCAGTGAGACATCCCCACTTTTGCTAGGACTGTGATCAACTAGTGATGAGTCAACTGACTATGTAGACTGTGTAGGCTACCTTTGGCCCTGGGATGATACCAAAAGACTAGGATTTCTCTCATTATTCACATGGAAAGTACTTCATGCAACTAGCAGACCATGCATCAAGGTCACACAACTTCCTCCAGGCTCATCCCTGATGGCTGTGGCATTGGCTGTCAATATCTGCATAGGGAAAGTATGCATCTGAATTTCTAGATGCATAGTCCTCTCCAGACAATCAATACGTGTTGACTTTTCCCCTGAAAATACTCATGTCATGACTAATGTAGGTGACCTCCATGATGCAGACTAGCTGGAATCTCAGCCCTGATGAAAGTAATCTTATTTCCCTTTCAACTAAACAAGAGTAGATGTGTTTAGCTCTTCTTCACATTTGGAAATCTTTGTGTGTGAGAGAGAGAGAAAGACCCCATTTTCTTTCTTTTCCTTCTCAATGACTATAAACAGAAAGAGGAAGATTTTAAATTGACCTCTGTCTTTTGAACACTACCTTTAAACATGTTAAATTGAAGGACGTCAAGCTAAGAAGCAGGTGTAAACATACCGGTAAGTTTATATTTATTATGTGGTTCCTCAAAAATACTTTATCAGTCGGAGTAGCTGGGGATAATTTTTTTGCGGGGGGGGGGGGGGGGAGAAAAGATTTTTTTGTGCTTTATTTTTTATTCAAACATATACATCTCTTTCCAGTAATGTATATTAGAATTTGCTTAACAACATAAAACACTACCCCAATGGAGATAATTCTTAATTGTCACAAGAATTCCAGCAAACCCAAGTAACACTGATTTCCCGTGGCCCATCATTTGCCTGTAACCAATATTTTTCAGTTTTAGGCAACTACTGTATTCTGCAGCTGTGCGTGCGTAACAGGTGATAATATATTAATTGTGATGCTTTTAATGAACCATTCATTCTGATTCTATTATCATCATACAGAGGTCATAACTGCTGTATTATTTATCCCAGAATGATTTCATAAGAGGAAATTATTCTGCTGGCTCAGACTCAAGTCCATCTGGGCCATATTGCTGTTTGCAGCAGTGGCTTCTCAGGTGCCCCTTGAAGCTCACAACAGGGTGCCTTACTTGACAGTCTTCTTCTTGAGGGTGTCTCTGTTTCAAGGACTTGCTATCCGAAGTCTGCTTTATTAAAGAACTAGACCAAGAAAGGGAAATGGCATGGCCTTGAGACTAGGACATGGAACAATAAATTCAAACTACAAGAAAAGAGATTCCATCTCAACATTAGGAAGAACTTACTGATAGTAAAATGACAGTGCAAAGGGATTTTATAGCACTTTTGAGAATAAGGACCGAACCACACAGGCCAAAAGGAGCACTGACCGTGGCCTGATTGTGGCTGGAGCGGCCAGAGGTTGCTCCTAGCCACCAGTCTGCTTTGTCCCTAGCTGAAAGAAAGACACTGGTAGTATGAACTTTTGTAGACTTGAGTAGAGAGTGATTCCTCAGCATTCCTCAGATGCACAGAGTGGAGAAGAAACTCCTGAGACAGATCTGTATAAGCCACTGTTTGTCAGTGGAATATGCTACCTTGGGAGTATCTCCTTCTTTGGAGGTTTTTAAACAGAGGCTGATGGCCATCTGTCAGGAATACTTGTCCTGCATGGCAGGCAGTTGGACTTGGATGGCCATTGTGGTCTCTTCCAACTCTGTGATTCTATGATTCACTTGGGTGAGACTTATTGCAGTGCTGTTCAAACTATAGTAATTGTTTCTGTACAATATTTGCACCTATAAATTTGCAAATGCAAAATCAAGACATCTTTCATCCCTTTTCTCTGTATCTCTCTCTCTTTTTCTCTGATTTTTTCCCCCTTGGTACATCATCACTTCACTCCATTGTTTTGCGTCAGCATGTTTAAGTGTCTACTTCAATTCACAAGCAGTGTGTTCTCGCTGTTTGCATTCTCACCATTCTCACTGTTCCTCTTAGTATTCAGAGATGTACTGCCTATCTTGACTTTGTGCAATTACTATGTTTAACAGCAGTTATAGAATCATAGAGTTGTAAAGGAGCTTGTAGACCATCTAATCCAGGGGTCCACAATGTGATCCTTCCAGGTTGTTTTTCAACCCTTCATATTACTAAGACTACCCATTCTTTGCCCCAAAAGAAAGGGTGGCTTGCTTCTCCCTGAAGCCTCCCAGAGTGGCAAGTTACCTTTTAAATAGGTTATGGAACTTTTTAAATGTTACTATGTAATATTAAAAAATACAATTTTTTGAAAACGAAATAGTTGATTTGTATCTACTTCCTTTTATGTTTTGCTTTTGGGTAGTCCATGTGGCCCTTGAAGAGTACTGGGACAAAACATTTACCCCCAGACCCACTGATGTTGCCCACTCCACTTTAGTCCAAGCCCTTGCTTCATTGAGGAAAACCAGTGCTAGACAATCCCCAACAGAGAGTTGTCTGACCTCTGTTCAGATATAACAAATCATCAAATCTCAAGGTGGTAAGTTCCATGTATTAGTGGCATGTTACATAGTGAAGTACTTCTTTGCACAGCGCATGAAGCTCTATTACCAACAGATTTCATTGCCTGACCAGAATTTTGGGCCTGCATGAGGATTAAAGAAGAATTTTCTAATTTAATCCTAATTACCCTAAAGCAGGGGTAGGCAACCTAAGGCCCAGGGGCCGGACGCAGCCCCCCCCCCCC